CCGCGCGTCGTCCCCGCCGTCTCCGCCGGGCCGCCGTAGCCGGAACTGCTGCTGAGAGCGGTGAGCCGGGCCTCCGGGAGCTGAGAGGCGGCAGTGCCGGCGCCAGCATCCTCGTCCGCCGCTCGCCGGGCGCGGAGGGGACGTGCCGGGGCGAGCGCCGCTGGGTATCTGCTTCCGAGGCGGAAGGACCACACCAGCGTCGCGGCTTCTGTGCAGTGGGCGCTCGGGGGCCGGGGCTGTCCGGCCCGGCGGGTTCTGCGGGCGTCCGGGGGACCCCCGGGGAGCCCGCAAAGCCAGGCCGCTGCGAGGCTTTGATGAAGAAGGTGACCGGGGGCTGGGGCTCGGGAGGGGTGGGCCGCCCCGACCGGCTGTCTTGGCGAGGCCCGGCCCCCAGCCGGAGCGGGACTGCGGGAGAGGGGAAGCGGCCTGTGCCCTGGCGGCGGTGGTTACGCACGCGGTGCTTTGTCGAGATGGCCCGGAGGAGTCCGGACCGAGCAGTGTTGCGGTGACACGCGGTGACAGCGTCGTGGTGCAGCCAGAATTCGACCCGAGACACGGAGGGTTTTGCTTTTTCCTTCCCGAAACCTGACAAACGGTGTCGGGCGGGGATGTTGCTGGAGCTGATTCCACCTCTGTGCACGGTCAGGAAGTAGCGTTGGAGGTTTTCGGTAAAGGGATTCCATTCCCGTGGCTTCCTTTTCCTGTAGGGGAAAACTCTGATATGTGTCAATATCCTCTTGATTCTGAAAGGCCGTGACCTTCTGTGTTCAGTTTAGTGTCTTCCAGTCTTCAGCCGGGCAGACGGGGGGCAAGTGTATTCTGCTTTGGCTGGTATGTGCTCTGTCTGTCTCCTGGCTTGACTATGGGTAGTTTGGGGATAATAGGTCCCTGGGAGTAGGGTTCTCCACATTATAACCCGGAGAGAGGCCCTTTAAAGTATTTCCAGGTTTTTAAAGTAGGAATGGAAAGGTTGAGAAACGAACAGCAAGAAGTCCTATGCGATGAAGTCTTTTTAAAAGTTTGGCTATTAGTCCTGTATAGTTTTATTTTTGGGCTGGATTCTTGTTTTTGTTTTTGTCTTAGACCAATTCCAGCAAATGAAAAATGTTACAGGTCGTTTTGTGACAGAATACATCAGAGCAGTAGTAGGTGTTACTTTGATTTTTACTCATTTGCAAATCTTTCAGTGAGAGGTCTTTGCTCCTATTTCTGTATTTCATTGTTAGCCTTGATGCCTTGCTCACTTTCCCCTCTTGAATTGAAATGTTTCCGTTCTGAGCGGTTGTGTTGAGGACGTCAAGCACAGTTTGGGCACAGTTTCAACACCTGTTGAGGAATCTAATATTTATCTTTCTTGCTTTATCACAGGTACACATTACTGACCCTTTTGGGGCTTATAGGTTGATACTGCTTGACTCTCTGAGTTAATTTTTGAGTGGGTCTGCATTCTGAGATGCATTTTTATAGAGTCATCGAGTGTTGTTGTTGACATTTCACACAGCAGTGGGTAACAAAGTGAATGCAAGAATTTATTAACGGTTATCAAGAGTTTTTGCACAGCCCTCTTCTGCCCATTCTTGCATTTGGATCTGGACCTGTCTGTCGTGTCGTTTTCACGGGTGGCTCCCACCTGTTCCACGCCACAGGCTCCTTTGTTGCAAAAGCATTTTTAATTTGTAAATCTCCGCAGCAGCACACACCTCCCACCCTGGGAAGCAAGATTCCCAGAAACCCCGAGCTTATTACTCTTTATGTGTTTTAAAATAAGCAGGCGGACCGGCAGCCGTGGGCCACCATGGAGTCCCCTGTGCACGCAGGCGAGCTCGCGCCTCTCCCCTGGCGGGGTGGATCCGGGCCCCTCGCCCTCGTTCCGGGGCCAACTTTGGGGACCGGCGTGCGGGGCAGGTGCGCGGGCCCGGAGCCCCGCGCGTTTTGGGGGC